AGGGAAATCAGATTTGTTTAACAACTGTGTGATTAGCTTAAAAGACTGGCAAAAAAAAAGTCAAAATTGGGCATGACTCATTGCTTAGTGATGGAAGTTCCATTCCCAATTGTAATTGTAAGTCAGGCACTAACAACCTCATTGCTTAGTGATGGGAGTCCCAGTCCCAGTTGTGAAGGACTAATTTGGAAATGATTTAAAATAAATTTATAAAAACTGTCTGATCTTCCCCAATATTTCTACTGTTCTTTGTAAGAGAAGTGTGGGTGACTTTAATTACCAATAGGTGATAAAAACTATTTCTTTGTACTATAAAATATTGCTTTATATGCCGGATACTAGATTGCAGGGGGTGGATGAGCTCAATCCTTTTGTTAGTATTTGAAATGACGTTTGATGCCTGAAGAACGTTTGTATCCATTCAGTGTAAGAAAAAATCCTTAGACATTGATTAACTTCTGTGGATTCTTTACAGGATTGATGATCATTATGCAGTACAGATAGTCCTCATTTAACATCCACTCATTCAGTGATCAAAATTATTACTGCTAAATGAGGGGTACTTATGACAGGTCCTCATAGTTGTCATCCCAGTGTCCCTGCAATCAAATGAATGCGGTTTTGGATGCTTGGTAACAGCTTCCATTTATGACAGTTGTTGCATCCTACAATCATGTGATTGTCATTTGCAACCATCATTGCCAGCTTCCAACTAACAAAGTCAATGGGGAAGCAACTAGGAGGTTGCAAATGGAGATTATGAGGGATTCATCTAACAACAGCAATTGGTACTGCTATAGTAAGTTGATGGAGTCGTGGTATTATGCCTTAGAACAGTGTTTCTCAACCTTGACAATTTTAAGGCATGTGGACTTCAACTCCCAGAATTCCACAGCCAGCAGAAATTCTGGGAGTTGAAGTCCACATGCCTTAAAATTGTTAAGGTTGAGAAACACTGCCTTAGAACCATGTCATTTAATGATGGATTTCAATTCCCAATTATTATCGGTAAGCAAAAACTGCCTATACAACTTTTCAACTTGTTTTGCTGGTGAAATTCTATAATGGATTGTTCCTACTCAATCATTAATAAGCTACTCTTTGATACAAATTTTCATAGACTTGCATTTTTTTTACTGTTCCGCCAGCATATATGAAGAGGAGATACAAGAAGGTTCCTGCACTGTAGTGCTTTTGTATTTTTAAAGAACCTGTTCTGGAAGACTTGGTTTGCTATGTGCTGCTCTGTAAATTGTATCCACTTCCCTGGAATCATATGTAACTACACAATTTTAAAGAGATGTAGTTGGGTTTCACATAGTAAAATAATTTGCTTCATGATGGTAGATTTTGATTCCTTTGCAATTTGCATTATGTACAAGGACAAAAAAAGAACCAAAAATAGGCGGTCATGGTAGTAAAGTATATAAGGAGATGAAAAACATTAATACATATAATTGGATGACTGATAGCATAATAAGATGTCTGTGCTCTATGGGGCAAACTTTTGTATTTGGTTGCTTTTTATTATTATTTTTTTAGAATTGCTGAAACCAACAATTCTAATAAAAATGATTCTTCTTGCATCATGATAGCCTGCAAATCATTCAGATTATCAGCCAACCACACTACATTTATTGTCTTGAATTGACTTGAACACTGGGCCCTATTCAACAAAATGAAATTCAGTGGTGAAAAAAGTAATCTACATTTAGGCAAGAAAAACCAAATGCACAAGTAGATTAGATAATATCTGGCTCAATAGTGGTAACTGCAAGAGGTATCTTGGAGTCCTAATGGATAATCCCTTAAATATGAGCCAACAGTGTGGCAAAAATCCAACACAGTCCTAACAGAAGAATAGAATCAAGATCATGTGAAATGTTAATATCACTTTATAATGCCTTGGTAAGCTCACACTTAGAATATATTGCATCCAGAACAGGGGTGTCAAACTGCCAGTCCGCGGGCCTGATGCGTCTTAGCAAAACCACCCCCACCTTATTGCTGGCAATGGGGAAAAAAGTCACGATACGTCGCGACACATCACGTGACATTGCGAGTTTCACACCGCTGCTCTAGAAAGACTGCAGAGAAGAGCAACAAAGATTAGGGGACTGGAGGCTAAACATTCAAAGAACGATAGCAGATGTTGGGTATGTCTTGTTTAATCAAAAGAAAGTCTAGGATGGTGTGTTAGCTGTGTCAATATCTAAGGGGCTGCTACAAAGAAAAGGGGGTCAGTCTATTCTCCAAAGCGCCTGAAGGCAGGACAAGAAGCAATGGATGGAAACTAATCAAGGAAAGGAGCAACCTAGAACTAAGGAGAAACTTCCTGACAGTTAGAACATTTAATCAGTGGAATGATTTGCATCCAGAAGTTGTGGTTGTTCCAGTACTGGAGGTTTTGAAGAAGAGATTGGTGAACCATATGTCTTAAATGGTTTAGGGTTGGACTAGAACAGGGGACCCTAACCCCCAGGCCGCAATGCAGTACCGGGCCATAGCCCCTTCTGAACCGGGCTGTAGACGTAGGTGAGTGCCTACCGCTTGTGCAGACAGATGTGTGCCCTCATCCGCAGTTCACGTAGAACCATCCCCTTTCCTCTCTTCCCTCAGGTCCACAAAGCCAGAAAGGTTGGGGAATGCTGGATTAGAAGACCTCCAGGGTCTTTTCCAATTCTGTTATTCAATTATTCTGTATACAGAAATAGAGCAATCAGCCTTCAAGTCCACATATCCTTGGTGAAGAATATAAAAATATTATCTATAAAGTGTGTTGGGGCAAAAAGAAACACCTTTTTTCTCCACTATTCTGTAAGTAATCCTATAGCTATTCAGGTAGTCTTTGACTTAATCATTTCTCTAGTGACCATTCAGAGTTACAACAACACTGAAAAAGTGAATTATGGTCATTTTTCACACTTACCAACTGTTGCAGCATCCCTGCAGTCACATGATCAAAATTCAGATGTTTGGCAACTGGCATAAATGTATGCCAGTTTCAGTGCCCTGAGAGCATGTGATCACCTTTTGTGACCTTCTGAAAAGCAAAATCAATGGGGAAGCCAGATTCACTTAACAATTATGTTACCACAATGATTGACTTTAACAACTGTAGCAAAAAAAGATAATCAAATGAGGCAAAATTCAGTTAACAACTGTATTGCTTACTTAGTAGTGGGAATTTGGGGTCAATTATAGTCTTAAGGCAAGGACTACCTGTATTTGTATATTGTTCTCTCCAGTGTAAAAGTTTTGCTTATTAAGCAGTCAAAAACAAAATAACCAATTTGTTATAGAGATCAAGACATCAGACTAGAAACCACGAGTCAGGTCTTAGACACAAAGTCTGCTAGGTGATTTTGGCTCAGAAATTCTCTCTTAGCTCTAGGAAAAGAGACAGAGGCAAACCACTTCTGAAATCTTATCAAGAAAACTCCAGGAATTTGTCCAGGCAGTCTTCCAAGAGTCAACACTGACTTGAAGGCACACAGAAAAAAGAGACCTTTGTATTTTATTTACATGAAATAGACATGTTTGCTTTTTATTCAAAATCAAGACCATTTTGAGGGTAGTTGTTTGTTAAATGTGGTTTTCTGTTTCTGAAGTAAGCCAAAACAACAAACAAACAAACAAAAAATTTGGCTGATCAGAAGAACAATTTAAGATTATTTAAAATCCTAATTTCTATGTTTCTGCTTTTATTTCATTTATGTCTGATTGTTTTTTAGTTTGTTATATAGTTTTTAATTTGTCATGCTGTATGCTGCTCAGAGTCACTATATACTGTAAATAAGCTAAATAAATAAATACAATTTACAAATATTCTAATGTATAAACAGTGTAAATATTTCAGCACTTTAATAATCTTAAGCACTTGAAAATTTAATGTTTGGAAAAATTTTGATAGTGCATGCTGATTGTTCTTTGGATACTCCATAAACTGTAATGCCTAGAACAGGTTGTAGTGCATTTGTCACATAGGGGTAGCTAACTTGATGATAGGCAAGAGTTTTGGGAAGTCTGTTAAATAAGATAGAATAAAAAAAAAGAACCTGAGAAATGGGATCAAAATATAGAAGTTAATGGTAGTCAGCCTTATGCCTTTAACACATTTGAGATTATTCAGGAAATTCTTTTAGATTGATTGGTGCTTAGTATTTATGTACTTCTGGTCCAAAATAACTGAATTAATATAAACTATTAAAATGTGTATGGGTCCATAAGAGGGTTTTGCTGATCTTTTTGACATGTTGCAAATGATTCAGAAAATAGTAGTAAGGATGCAGAGTTGGTCCAGTCCATGTAGTTTGGTGAATAATATCTCTTCTATCGTCTTGCCTAATTAATCACATTTAGACAATATGGAAACTACTGTTAGTTTAGCAGTAACATTAGACTCCATTCCTAAATAATATTGGAAGGATACGGTATTTTAATCCGTTGGAATTTATATTTTGTTGATTATTGAAAATGTGACAAGAATGGATTTTCTGCCTCTAATCAGATTTCTACTTTGCATAGTTTAAAGCATAAGAACAAAATATGGGTATGAACTACCTATTTAAATTATTTTATAAAAAACTTTAAGAACAATCAGTGCTTAATTTGTTTTAATTTATTTTTATTGTCTCAAAATATCTTTCAAAAATTATTATTATTATTATTATTATTATTATTATTATTATTATTATTATTATTATTATTATTATTATTATTATTATTATTATTATAGGCAAAATGACAAATGCATTCTGAAATCTTTTGGCAACATTTTCAGTTTGTGTTTTTGATTTTGGCTTACTTTTACTAAGTGTGAAAATCGATTAAAATGTGATAACTTCAACAGAGGCTAAATTATATACATACAGACAAAAATATCTGGCTGAAACAATTTAATATTAATTCAATTGTTCTGTTTCCACATTAACATTATTTAGACACATACATATATAGAGTGTGTATTTCATCTGTCTTTTTTTGTTAATGAACTGTAGGAACATCATCTCCAGCGGGCCATTTCAGCACAGCAAGTATATGGAGAGAAACGGGATAATATGGTTATACCAGTCCCAGAAGCAGAAAGTAATATTGCCTATTATGAATCAATATATCCTGGAGAATTTAAAATGCCAAAGCAGCTTATTCACATACAGCGTGAGTATATATTTATACTGAATATTTAAAATTAATTGGACCCAGGCTGTGGACTAGTACCAGGCCACAGCGTGCCAGAAACAGGTCCACACAAACCAGCGAAGCCCCATCCAAAACACACACCCTCCGGTCCATAGAAAAACACTCCATGGACCCAGTCCCTGGTTCCAAAAGGTTGGGGGGGGGGCTGCTTTGCAGTCTAGAAAGCATTTCCAGCTATCAAAAAATGTCACACTGTGTTCCCCACATGGTTACATGAGCGGGATTTTTTACAAATTTCAGATTGGATGACAAGTGCCCCATGATCATGTAATCACCATTTGCAATCCTTCTACCTTTTCCAGAAAAACAGTGGGGAAGCTGGCAGGGAAGGTTGGAAAATGTTGTCACTTGTCAAAAGTTTTCCCCTCCCCTCCATTTAATAGGTGGGGGAATCCTTTGTTGGGTAGGAGAAACAAAGCAGGGCTATTTGCAATCTCTTCTTGTTTCTCCAACTCAGTACATGAGTTCCCTTCAGTTCAGGGAGCGGAGAAAAACTCTTCTAAAGGGCTGCAGAAATGGAGATCAGATCACGAAGATTTGACCTTCATTTTTATAGTCCCCAAGAAATTGCCCTCCTTGCATGGTGGGGAAGGGAACATTTGCAGCAGGTTACAGAAATAAGTTTGGATCTCAAAGATCAGAGGTTTGTTTCTGCTTGCTGCAGGTGTTCTGCGCATGGAAGGGAGCTGCCTATTTTCCTTTGGCAGGCTTAACAACTCATGTAGTCACTTAACAACCAATTGGGAGAGCCATGAGGGTGTCACGCTTAATGACTGCTTCATACAGTGACTAAGATTCCAGTCCCAATTGTGTTTATAAGTCAAGGACTACTTGTACACAGTATATTTGACGTATGTACATGTTTGCAATCTCATAGTACTATATGGTTTTACAGGTAGGCTAAGCTAATTTATAATGTGTTCAGAGTTTTCATGAACAAACTGAAAATTTATCTACTCACTTCATTAACAGTCTATATCAAACTTTTAACATTGTCAGGTAGTTTTTTAAAATTTGGTCAAAGAAAATGGAATTGGAGAGGTACTATACAATGAAAACAATTCCGAATTTTATTTAGCTGTCAATATCCTACAGATTACAACTTGACATATTTCTTTTTTTCTTTCACATGGAATATAGTACAACAAATGGTGTTGTAAATAAATCAATAGGGCAACATTATAAGGGCTTGTCCAAAGGATCAGGGCCATGATACCGTCTTACAATATGGGGAATACTTTGGACTGTTTGCATTGTGTGTAGGTGGCTACTGGCACTAGCACATTTCTTTCTCTGTGAATTCCCCATTGTGTGCCTGTGTATTTTGTTGTAATCCCTTTCTCTCCAATCTCTCGATTCTGCAGGAGGGAGGGGAACTTTCTGTAGACAATCCCAAAGTGCAGAGTTTGGAGAGAAAGGGAATACAAAAGAATAAACAATCAAACAATGGTGAATACTGGACTGTTTGCATGGCACACACACAGCTGTTGGCACCAGCACATTTCCCAGGAGAAAATAAGTAAAACAATAGGTTGGATATTGGACAAAACATATTATTGTAATGGCAATCACGTGACTGATGGACAGTGTAAAAAGTTGTAAATGTGGACATTGGTTATAAAATTATTTTTTTAGCACCATTGTAACCTGGAACAGCTACTGAACAAAGTAGTCAATGAGCAAGTACAATTGGTAATGGGATAGATCTGTCAAGGCTGTCTTATTCATTCCTTAATCAATATATTTAAATAGTTCTTAATGAAGAATTGAGTTATCCAATGAAGGCTATTTTATAAATATTGACATATTCATTTGATAATATTTCAACCATATATCTACATTCTGTCTTATCTAGACTGAATTTAGCTACCCTAAATTCATATTCTCAGGATTTGTTAAGAAATATAAGTTTATAGTCAGTAGATTTTAAGATGGCAGGAATATATGTGCTTGTTTTACATTTCTTCTAGTTTGAAATTTATATTAAACTATTTACTTTAACTCCCAAATAAATTGTCCAACTGAACTTTTGAGAATTACATCTAAATTACTTTATACTATTTTGCATAGATTATATAAAATATATTAAAATATTTTTCTCTGTTCAGCTTTTAGTTTGGATGCTGAGCAACCGGATTATGATTTGGATTCAGAAGATGAGGCCTTTGTGAATAAGCTGAAGAAAAGAATAGATATTTTTCCTTTGCAATTTGAAGAAATGATAGATAGACTTGAAAAAGGAAGTGGTCAGCAGGTATAGTATTGTTTCTAATTTGAAATTATTTAAAGAATATAAATACATAAAAGTGACATACTTGGATTTTATCTTTAGCCAGTCAGCCTGCAGGAAGCCAAACTACTCTTGAAGGAAGATGATGAATTGATTAGAGAAGTGTACGAATATTGGATTAAAAAGAGAAAAAACTCCCGAGGCCCCTCTCTTATCTCAGCAGTGAAACAGGAGAAACGTGATGGGTCCAGCACAAATGATCCTTATGTTGCATTTAGAAGGCGAACAGAAAAGATGCAGACTCGAAAAGTGAGTAGACTTAATATCTTACTGCATCTACAGATTGCTTTCTAGAGCCCTTTGTAAAGTGACCCAGATTCTTTTACAAAAAAAGGAGTAGGAAAAAAAAACCTGTGACAATGTTAACAAAACTCTTTGTGGATAAAAATCACTCTTCGGTTCACTTGGAATCGGAAGCTAATTGGACAGAGTCCAGAGAAATGAGGTTCATGTGTTTCAAGATTTCCTGGGAAAGTGAACATATGGATCCTATAGAATTGGGCAGTTTGGCATGAGATGAGTTGATCCTACCCCATTTGACTTATGCATGCTCCCAAGGAGGGGGTGGGGAAATGGGTCCCTGCTGGGAGCGGCCCGCTGGAGGCTCTGCTGAGCGGGCCAGCCCTCCCGCAAGCCACGGCCCAAGGGATACCAGCCCCTACGATCCCCAGCCAGCCCGACTATTGGCCCCACTGGCCGGGAAGGCGCGCCGGAGTCCAGGCTGCCGGGAAGGAAGAAGGAGATGCAGCAATGGTAGGAGAGGAGAGCCTCCTCCTGGGGCCCGGCACTGGCGGCGGCTTCCTTGCCCTCCTCTTCCTCCTCCCCTTCTTCCTGCTGCCCCCCAGGCAGCTCAGGCGGGTGCCGGGACAAGAGGGGTGCCTAGGGGGGAGCAGAGGGGCTGGCAGGGGCCGCGCGGCACCAGCCCCCACCGCGGCTCCATCGATGGGCGGAGGGGAAGGCCGGGCAGCGCGGAGTCCCAGCTGGGGCGGCTGCTTCCTCACCCTCCTCCTCTTCTTCCTCCTGCTGCCTCCCAGGCGGCTCGGGCAGGTACTGTCCCCACTGCGGCTCCATCGATGGGCAGAGGGTGAGGCCGGACAGCGCAGAGTCCTGGCAGGGGTGGCGGCCGGGGGCGGCGGGGACACACGACGATGCAGCCGTGCTGCCGCCACCGGAGCCGCTACCTCCCGTCCTCCTCCCCCTCCCCACCCGTTCGGCTGAGGATGTGGCCGGGCCGGGGGCGGTGGGGACCCCCGACGATGCTGCCGTAAGAGAGAGAGGGGAAGAGGAAAGAGAAAAAGAGAGGAAAGAGGGAGAGAGAGAGAGAGGAAAGAAAGAGAAGAGAGAGAGGAAAGAGAAAGAGAGAGAGGAAAGAGAAACAAGGAAAGAGAGAAAGAGAGAGAGGAAAGAGAAAGAGGGAGAGGAATGGCACTTCTCCAACCAGGCTGGGCGGAGCCAGCGGAGTGGCCTTCCTGCCCCCCTCCCTGGCCAGCTGGATGGGGGGTTGGGGGTCACCACAACATGAACTGTATTAAAGGGTCGCGGCATTAGGAAGGTTGAGAACTACTGCTATAGATGATTACGAAGCTCTTAAAAGCATGGCAATTCCAAAGAACATTTGTGGACTAAAAAGTTGTAACTTCATTGTATCTGGGATTATTGTGAGCATTGTTAATAATTATAAATTATTAATCTACAATTATTAGTTTGGCTATTGCCTTTTTGTACTGTAATATTGCAATTCTTTGTTTTGAACATAAGAGTCTTTATAAATAAATATTTCAGATTTGTGTTTGAAAAATAAATATTCACAACAATCAGGACTGAAAATATTTAATATTTTGGTGTCTAAAATATGTTTCATTTCTACATTTACCACATTTTGCAGAATCGAAAGAATGATGAAGCTTCTTATGAAAAAATGCTTAAACTGAGGCGGGATCTGAGTCGTGCAGTAACAATTCTAGAGATGATAAAGAGAAGGGAAAAAAGCAAGAGAGAATTGCTGCATTTAACATTGGAAATTATGGAAAAGAGGTAAAACAGTTCAATTTTGCTTTCAAATTATTATTATTAAATAAGCAGTTTATTAAATTGGCAAATAGATAATATTTTATGAAATTGTAATAGATTTTTATTCCACTTTTGTATGTAGTACTTATCACCAAATATGTGGGTATGGGGATAAAAGCAGTGTTTTAGATTATCAAACAGCTTTTTGGTTATTGTTGGCAAATCTTGCTGTTTTGGAGAAAAGGATTATTAGAGTTTGACAAGTCGTGATGTCTTACATTCAATCCTGTTGCCTCCAAATAGGACTGGAAATATTCCTCTCGAAGTCCTTGAGAGGCAGTGGCAATTGGACCCCACCTTATTGAGGTAGCAGATAAGTTAACTTGGTTTAGTATAAGTTAGTATCACAGGAAGGATGTCCTTTGCAATTTTGAAATCAATCAACTTTAGGCATCTATCTGAAATTACATAAATTAAAGGCATATAATAATTTGCAGGGGAGAATTGTTTTTCATTCTAAAGTGAGCATATTGCTTGATTTGAGATGTATTAAAACAGGTCCCCAACCTCCAGTCATTGGACCGGCACTGGTCCACGGCATGCTAGAAACTGGGCTGTGCAAACAAGCAAAGCCACATCCGTGGGATGCAGGCAGCACACTAAACCACAGCTCCATACCGTAGAAAAACCTCTCTCCACGGGACTGGTCCCTGGTGCCCAAAAGGTTGGAGGCCGCTGTATTAAAATATTTTTTAAAATACAATAAATTCTCTATTAAACAAAGATGCTGAGAATGATTCATTTTAATATTTATAAAATTCATGATAATACTAGAAATGACCAAAGTAAAGTAAGTCTTATTTGCTTTAAATAATACTATTAAAGATCTATTACACTTTTAAATTGAAAATATTGACAAAATATTCTCACTATTATCTGAGGTGTATAACATTTAATATTCTAAAATCTTTGGTTGTTTCAAGCTTAGAATGCTTTTGTCAAGTTGAAAGCAGCATTAAAACAACTGTGAAGTTAGACCAGCTCTTTTTGAAAGTGATATTTTTTCCCAAACTGAAAAGATATATGTTGACCTTGGAACACTTCAGATTTGAAAGGTTTTGCATGCTTACTGCAGTCATCGTTTCAGAATGTATATTCTGAGTATTTCTGTAATGAAATGTTTCTTCTTAAGACTTGATGTAACACTTGCTTCTAAATCAGTAGTTCTCAGCATGGGCAGTTTCCAGTAAAAAATTTGAACTCCTGGATTGTCAACAATGTCCACGCTGATGGGAAATTCTGGAAATAAATTCCATGTATCTGGAGATTGCCCAGATAGGGAAATGCTGAAGTAGGTTCTCGAGAGAATAAAGATACAACCATTAAGTATATAAACTTAACTGTAGGAGATGACCAGGCTGGGCCCAAGGGTGGAGTCAAATATATCATCAGTTTGGAGTTGTGCTATCACCAGAGACTTTCAAGTCTAGCCCCCATGTGAATTCCATTGACTCTTATCTTGGCCTTTAGTAGACCTGATTCTTGTGTATAGGTAGCATGGAATAAATTTGTAGTACTTTTGAATTCTATCCTGGCTCTTGATTTCTTGTGCCTGACTTTAACATTAGTTCTAGTAAATTAAAACTTTTTTTTTACTTTCCAGATATAAGTTGGGTGATTATAATGGAGAGATCATGTCTGAAGTAATGGTACATCGACAGCCTATGAAGCCTACCTATACAATTCCTGTTGGAATAGTTCCTAATAGCACTCAGTTTAAACATCAGGAAAATATGGAATTGAAAGAATTTAAAATAAACAAGGTAACTCTGACTATCTATCTATCCATTCATCCATCCATGATTATAGATACTACTTATTTGAAAAAAAATGTTATTTGTAATTTTATGCCATAAATATGCTTAAACCATGTAAGTTCTTAATTTCATTCCAAAAGACTTCAAGATAACTCTAGGTAGCTACCACTTACCACTGTGGTAAGCAATTTTGATAGTCCATTATGTTAAAGTTTCCTATGAATTAATCCTGGTTGATCTTGAAAATCTAAGCAAACAGACCTTTGCTTAAATCCCAGGTAGTTTTATGGTTTTGATTGTGAAGTTGAAAAAAATAAAATAATTCTTATTAGAAATATTCATAAAATCAACCATGATTTACCGTCAACTTGATTCCTCTTTCCCTCTCATCATAATGGTGCATTTAAAAAAGAATCTTCTAAAACCTACAGCTTCTCCTAATGCAGGGGTAGGCAACCTTGGCTCTTTTATGATTCATGGACTTCAACTCCCAGAATTCCTGAGCCAACCATGCTGGCTCAGGAATTCTGGGAGTTGAAGTCCACAAGTCATAAAAGAGCCAAGATTGCCTACCCCTGTCCTAATGGTTAAGATGTATCAAGTTACATAAAACTATTAATGCATTTTCTCTTCATGCAGCAAGAGAAAGCCGATGCTATACGGCCGAAGAGAAAATATGAGAAGAAGCCTAAAATTGTACCTTCATCGGCTGCTAATGCTTCTCAGCAGACAATTCCTGCTTCACTGCCAATCTTTAATGCTAAAGATATGAATCAGTATGACTTTCCCAGCTCTGATGAAGATCCTCTTTCTCAAGTATGGCATCTACAGTCCTTTGGTTCAGGGAGAAAAAATATTCTTGCCTCCTTTTTCTTATCTACTGCTTTCTTCTTAAAGGTCTTTTCTGGTTCTTCTGAAGCTGAGGAAGAAAATGATCCTGATGGGCCATTTGCTTTCCGTAGGAAAGCAGGCTGTCAGTATTATGCTGTAAGTCTTGAATTTGTATAGTAGTATATTTTTACACTTATATTAATTAAATTTTTGTTTTAACCCTTTTCAAATATTTCTTTTCAAAGCCTTGTTTAGACCAAACTGGTGACTGGCCTTGGAGTACTCCTAAAGGGGGAACGTTAGGAGATGAGCGTTATAGATATTGCTTAACCACCCTTACTAGGCCGCAAAGGTGCATTGGGTTTTCACGTAGACGGGTTGGACGTGGTGGAAGGTAGGCTTATTTATTTTAAAACTACAATAATACCATATTGTGTATGAGATGTACATTTTGAAATGTAGTTGTAACATGTTTGCTCAGTTACTTAAATTAGTACATAAATTTTAATTAGATGTCCGTATTCTTAATCTATATCTTTGACTTGATTATGGTCTTCTCCCTTCTGTTATAAAAAGCTTTATTGTGACTTTTCTTCTTCTCTTTTCCCCTTTAAATCCTTGATTTAAAGGCTAGCACTAACTATATTTTGTATGTCATTGCACTGTGTAAGTATCAGAAAATAATGGGAAGAAGACCCTGAAATCTATGATAGTTCTTGGGTATGGAAGTTTTAGGTATGGTAGTTCATACTTCTTGAGAATAGGTTCTTCCCTGTGGATCTGTGCATCTTCTGCTTAAAGGTGTACACACGTTGAGGGTCTTCTAAGATCATCTTTGTTTATCTATATAACCAGAAAACGTATAGGTAGGCTTTGAAACAGCTTGATTTCTCATAAAATGATTTCCATGGGCATAACAATAGAATAGGGAGAACCAGAGATCTCTTCAAGAAAATTGGAGATATGAAGGGAACATTTCATGCAAAGATGGGCATGATAAAGGATCAAAATGGCAGGGACCTAACAGAGGCAGAAGAAATTAAGAAGAGGTGGCAAAATTACACAGAAGAACTATACAAGAACGAGCTTAACATCCCTGATAACCACGATGGGGTGGTCACTGACCTCGAGCCAGACATCCTAGAATGTGAAGTGAAATGGGCCTTAGGAAATCTGAGCAACAACAAAGCTAGTGGAGGTGATAGTATTCCAGCTGAGCTATTCAAAATCTTAAATGCAGTAAAAGTGCTACACTCAATTTGCCAGCAAATTTGGAAAACTCAACAGTGGCCACAGGATTGGAAAAGATCAGTTTACATTCCAATTTCAAAGAAAGGCAATGCCAAAGAATGTTCGAACTATGCACCATTGCACTCATTTCACATGCAAGTAAAGTTATGCTTAAAATCCTACAAGCTAGACTCCAGCATTATGTGGATCGAGAACTTCCAGAAGTACAGGCAGGATTTCGAAGAGGCAGAGGAACTAGAGATCAAATTGCCAACATACGCTGGATCATGGAGAAAGGTAGGAAGTTCCAGAAAAACATCTACTTCTGCTTCATTGACTATGCTAAAGCCTTTGATTGTGTGGATCACAACAAATTGTGGCAAGTTCTTAAAGAGATGGGAGTACCAGACCATCTTATGTGTCTCTTGAGAAACCTATATGCGGTCAAGAAGCAACAGTGAGAACTGGACACAGAACCACTGATTGGTTCAAAATTGGGAAAGGAGTCCAGCAAGGCTATATACTGTTGCCCTGTCTATTTAACTTACACGCAGAGCACATCATGAGAAAGGCAGGGCTAGATGAATCAAAAGTTGGAATTAAGATTGCCGGGAGAAATATCAACAACCTAAGATATGCAGATGATACCACTCTAATGGCAGAAAGTGAAGAGGGAGTAAAGAGCCTCTTGATGTGGGTGAAGAAGGAGAGTGCAAAAGTGGGCTTGAAACTCAACATTAAGAAAACCAAGATCATGGATCTGGCCCTCTCAATTCCTGGCAAATAGATGGGGAAGAAATGGAGGTAGTGACAGATTTTATCTTCCTGGGCTCCAAGATCACCACAGATGGGGACTGCAGCCAAGAAATTAAAAGACGCTTGCTCCTGGGGAGGAAAGCTATGGCAAATCTAGACAGCATACTAAAAAGCAGAGACATCACCCTGCCAACAAAAGTGCATATAGTCAAGGCCCTGGTTTTCCCAGTTGCAATGTATGGCTGTGAAAGTTGGACCATAAGAAAGGCTGAGCGCCAAAGAATTGAGGCCTTTGAACTATGGTGCTGGAGAAGACTCCTGCGAGTCCCCTGGACTGCAAGGCAATCAAACCAGTCAGTCCTAGAGGAGATCAACCCTGAGTGCTCTTTAGAAGGCCAGATCCTGAAGTTGAAACTCAAGTACTTTGGCCACCTAATGAGAAGGAAGGACTCACTGGAGAAGAGCTTAATGCTGGGAAAGATTGAGGGCAATAGAAGAAGGGGACGACAGAGAATGAGGTGGCTGGATGGAGTCACTGAAGCAGTAGGCATGAGCTTAAATGGACTCCAGAAGATGGTAGAGGACAGGAAGGCCTGGAGGAACGTTTTCTATGGGGGTCACAATGGGTCGGACACAACTTCGCAACTAACAACAAACTTTTTTTCTATAGACTATATAAAAATCAACATTAAATTACATTAGTAATTTTTACTACAAAGATTCTGTGGCAAAATAGTAATTTAATCATATCTTGTCTGGATTCTTTTATCATGTGTTTTGTAACACATTAATTTTAGTATGTAATAAATTATTTTACTTAAAGAATATTATCCAGCTAATCTGGAACCTTCAGCAGTGCTTTTCTTTATAAAAATTAGGTATAAAAGTATTTTACATTGCTACTACTGCAGATGCACCACAACTTGGAAAGAAGTATATATATTTTAGCATTTCTAGTATAGCATTGTTCATATTTTGCAATGAAATCTTGACAAGTCTCCATAATTTACTTTCCTGTCATCACATTCAAAATTGTTTCAATTTAGAAGCTTGTAAGAAGAATACACCATCTTTTGCGCATAGTGATGTAATTTCTAAAATATTTTAAGTACAGATAGTCCTCGACTTATAAACACAATTGAGTCCAAAATTCCTTTTACTAAGTGAGACAGTTATGTGAATTTTGCCCTATTTTATGATCTTTCTTGCCACAGTTGTTAAGTGAATTGCTGCACTTGTTGAGTTAGTTATTAAGTGAATCTGGCTTCCCTATTGACTTTGGTTGAAGTGTGAAAACTGTCATAAGTTATTTTTTCAGTGTTCTTGTAACTTTGAACAGTCATTAAAGAAAGGTTGTAAGTCAAGGACTATCTGTATTTATGTTTACTTTTTAAAGCCTGGATTATTTTTCTAGATCTAAAAGGATGAGGGCTCTTTTTTTATCTTAATTCAAACTGGATCTTTCAGAATAATCATTCTCTAACTATCTTAGCCTTTTGTCCCTATTAGGTTGACATTATTAAGTCTAATTACCACACGTTTTAAATTTGTTTGTGATCCTCAAATTATAAAGTATTACCTTCACAATAAGGATCAATTGGTTTTTAAAGAAAGAAAAAATATGACTTTTTAGTAAACTTTGCATGCATTTGAGCAGTGAAAGTACTTCTAGTATTCTGGTATACTTTTTTAATAGTGACATCTATCCAGACTGCTCTTTGGTTTTGCTGTCCTAATCTATCCTAAGGTACAATCAACCACTTATGTGCCAATATCCATTTATAATGGTTTGACATTTGGTTCAAATAGACAAATATTGTCCTGTTTCATTTCAAGTAGGAAATTAGCATTCATGTAGCAGATTAGAATTTGTCAACCTGACTTGCAGTATCCTCCTGGTCATGGGATTCAAATTTGGACACATTGCAACTGGTGTGTATTTATGATAGTTGCAGGGTCCCAGAATCATGTGATCAGTTTTTGCAATCTTGTGACAAATAAAGTTAATGGAGAAGCCAGATTTATTTAACAACCATGTTACTAACTTAACAACTGCAGTGATTCACTTAAAACAACTTTGGCAAGAAAAGTTGCAAAATGGGGCAAAACTCGCTTAACTGTCTTGACTAGCAAAATAAATGTTGGGCTCAATAGTGCTTGAAAATCAAAGACTACTATATGTAACTCTTAAATAGGGCTGAACTTATTTAAAAATGATTTGGAAGAACTGTTTTTTTACCTCTGCCAAGCATAAAATCTGTTTACCATACCTTAAAAACACCAGGTTTCTTTCAAGTTTTTCCATAGCCTATTATTAATTCCCATTAAGAAATTTGTTTTAGTCTATCCCTTAAGTATTAGCGTCTTATTTCATGCTAATGTGGAAGCATAAAAAGAGACATAAGTAGAAGGGCAATAGAGGGCTTTTATAGGGGCTCTTACCATTTCTTCCAAATAATTTTCAAATTGTATATAACCCTCTTGTAAATGTTTTTCCAATGGTTGAAAGAGCCAGATCGAAAAATATTTTCACACAGAATTTCCTTGCTATTTTTTCTTAACAGTTTAAAAATAATGTTTGGATGAAGATAGGAATAACACGTTGGCTAGTATATGATTAAAAGTAATCTTCTTTCCATTTTTAGGGTGCTCCTGGACCGAGCATATTCAGAGAAAAACAGTGCATTCTGTCAGCTGGATTCAGAAACACTTTCCTCACACTCTTCAGTCAATCAAATTGCCAATACCTCAGAAACAAATACCTCGGACAGATATTTATCTAAAGACCTCAGTCAGATACTAGTCAATATCAAATCACGTAGATGGCGTCATTTTAGGCCTCGGACACCAACCCTACATGACAGTGATAATGATGAACTTTCATATAGGAAATTGCACAAGAGTGTTAATCGAGCAGGCACAGCACAACCTGGGACCCAGATATGCAGTACCTCTATTCAAAGTAAAGATACCAGTGGTGCAGCACACTTTGGTATGTTGATTTTGACAAATATAATTCTAAAAGTAGTGTTGCCGAAAGCCTAATTTTTATTTATTTCTTCCATATTTTTCCGTAGTGGCTGATGTTTATGCTGCATGTTTAAATGCCATGCTATAGCTGTATTCAATCCATTTTGTTTTCAAATTTTTAGTAGAATTTTATAGAGTCCATTCCTTACATTTCTTATTTATTTTTGTTGTTTTATTTATATTTATCAGTTTTGACCATTTATAATTTGATATTAAGAATGCAAAATAAGGAATTGATTTGAAATGTTCAAAACATCAACACTTAAAATCCAAAATTTAGTGATATACACAATCATGAAAAGTCCTGCTGGTTTAAAAGACCAACTTATCAGTTATATTTTATTAGCACAAAAAGTTTTAGAGATCACTACTGAAAACTCTCCAGCCCTTTGGCAGGGTAAATACCCATTTAATCAGATGTTAAAGAGATGGTACAAATAATTTTTGTTTGTTTGTTTTTGAGAAGCCATTATATGTTGAAAGGATGCAATTCTATCCTGATTTCTTGTAAAAGGATCTTGGTTTTTTTTTTAAAGTCTTATAAATGATGTCTAAAAATGAACAGGAATATTATTTTAAGACTACAGTGAGGGAAAAAATTTTTGGCAGTTCAGAATTATATTTATAAACTGTAAACTTTGATGAGTCAAGCAACCTGGGATACAGTTAAGAAGGATATGGCCTTTTGATCGAAGCCCATTGCTATAGAATTTTGGAAGAAGTTGCTAAGACTTGTGTTGGTTAAATATGTAATTTGCAAATGTAAATCTTGAGAGTGTAATGTTTCAATTGTGGTCATCGTCTTTTGTTATCTTCTGTAACTGATATAAACCCCTTTTAAATTCTGTTGGAACAGTTCTGTAGCACTGGATATCTTTTTTTTAAATAAAAGACAAGGAAATCATCTCTAACATGGATGAATAAAAAGATGTATATAATAATGGCCGTAGCAATTTTATTAAGACTTTTGATCATTTCAGTTGTTGAATCATTTTGTTTATTATAATTGTTATTTATGACTTTAATAATGCATCAAGTCCATATAAGACTCAAAGCTTATTTTTATAACTAATTTCATCACTGTTTGAATTACATAATTGATTCCAGACAGAAGTCTGAGGATATTGGAATAGTATTTCATATGAATATAAAATAAGTTAGAACTCTTAAACCACCAAAGAAAACCATTTCAACATATTTGTTTTATCTCAGCGGATCTTCATTGTAGCTCCCTGTCCTGCTCTAATGAGTTTGCCTGCTGCTGTATTGTTATTTTTTTGTTCTGCCTGGAACAAATAGCTTGCATAACTAGGAAACATTAGAAACTATAACTAAAGAAAAACTAGAATTTGACTATAAACTCTGAAAATTTAAAATATATTCTACAATTTTCATAAACCTGGTTCATAGGCTGGTTGTCTCACATTTTGCAGTAAGGACTTTTGATGTTACAATTCAGTCATATAACTTGAAACAAAGCTTCCAAATTATGCAATTTTCCCCTTCCCATTTTTACAATCCAATTTCATATTTGTCATTATTCAGAAAAGCCACAGTTTGCAGATGTTATTGAATATGGCAAATTGTTTGTGTTTATTTTCCAACCTAAATTGAAAACAAGTTATAAAATACTAGCTTGTAGTGAACTGTATTCATTTGTGGCAGTAAACTGCTATTTATTCAGTGAAAAATGTCATAGGAAGAATATGTTTTTGTAATCATGCCATTGTGGATCAAGAGGTCTTTCTTAATGAAACTCATGCTTAGTCATTTTGTCAGATTAATGCTGTGTGTTTTATCTGGGATTGTCCTTGAGGACTACTAGGAAATTAGCTAATCCATAATGCTCTGGTGTGAGTAGTTACGGGCACAGCCCAACACATCATTTATTAATTCATTTATGAAAATGTATATGGCCATCCAACTACTCAGAGTCTAGGCCAGGGGTAGGCAACCCAAAACACTCAAAGAGCCACTTGGACCCGTTTCCCACCGAAAGCAAAACACTGGGAGCCGCAAAACCCTTTTGATATTTAAAATGAAGATAACACTGCATATATCCTTTTTTAGCTTTATTATAGGTGTGTGTGTGTGTGTGTGTATGCAGTGTTATCTTCATTTTAGATGTCAAAAGGGTCTCTCTATCTCTCCCTCTCTCTCTCTGTCTCTCCCTCTCTCTCTCTTTCTGCCCTTGGTCTGCCAGTCCTCTTCCCCCACTCAGTGTGTGTGTGTGTGAGAGAGAGAGGGGGGGCACTTGCGCTTCCTCCCTCTCTCTTTCCTCTTCCTCTCTCTATCTCTCCCCTCTCTTTCTCTCTTTTCTCTCCCTCTCTTTCTCTCTCTCCCTCTTTCCTCTCCCTCTCTTTCTCTCTCGCTTTCCTCTCCCTCTCTCTCTCTCTTTCCTCTCTTCCCCTCTCTCTCTTTCCTCTCTCCCTCTCTCCGATCTTCTGCTCACCTGGCAAGCTGGCTTCAGGCTGTTCTCCAACAAGCTGACACACATTCTTATTGGGCTAGCTCAAGGATAGGCAACCTCGGCTCTTTTATGACTCATTGACTTCAACTCTCAGAATTCCTGAGTCAGCATAGCTGGGCTAGCTAGCTAGCTCCTGCTTCCTGCAGAGACACAGCCAAGGCAGGAGCCCTGCCCAATAACTTGTCAGCTTGTGGAACAGGTGAGGCCACTCTCTCTTTTACACACACACACACACACACACACACACACACACACACTCAGAGAGAGAGAGAAGGCTCTCTCTCTCTCTCTCTGCAAATGACAGAGGAGGCTGGGAGCCGCAGGTTGCCAACCTATGGTCTAGGCTGTTTATAAAACTCTTGTAACACTGCTGCTCCTTAATCTGCATCGTGGACTTCTGGGTACAATTCAAGGTCCTATTGATCTATGGTCTAGGCTGTTTATAAAACTCTTGTAACACTGCTGCTCCTTAATCTGCATCGTGGACTTCTGGGTACAATTCAAGGTCCTATTGATCATCTAAAAATCCCTTCAGGATATAGGGCCTGAATATCTGTGGGACAGCACCTCTCCACTTTTCTCTGTCCATCCTATAAGATCTAAAAAGATCTTATCCTATGAGGCTCATGAACAAAGCAGCAGCATCTTAGAGACTCCATAAGTAAGCCTTCTTTTTTGTCATAACTCCCCTTTGGAACAGTATCCTCCTCTCTACCAAAACCATGTGTAAACAGAGGTTACAAGTAGAAAAATTTTAATCAATCAATTATGCCTGAATATTGGAAAGTGAGAAGAGTATGATGGCTCAGCCGCTAAAGACACTGAGCTTCTGAGCTGGAAAGCTGATGGTCCAGGTTCGAGACCCTTTCCCAACTCCTGGCCATCTAACAGTTCGAAAGCATGCAAATGCGAATAGATAAATAGACACCACTTTGGTTGGAAGTTTATAGTTCAGACAACTCTGGCTCCCTTGGCTAAGAAACAGATGAGCATCTCTCCCTAGAATCGGACATAATTATAGAGGGAAACCTTTATCTATGGGAAAGTGAAAACAAAATGGGAATTAAAACCATCCATAGTATTTGAGGAAAAGTCTTGAAATAAGGAATGTTTTTAAACATTGAACAATATTGAGATCCAAATCTTAATTTTAAAAACAGTATATATTTACAATGTACACTGAAGTTAAACTTTAGTTTTTATAATCATTCACATCAAATGATTAAATTTCTGTGTAATAGCAATAGCACTTAGACTTATATACCATTTCACAGTGCATTACAACCCTCTCTAAGCGGTTTTTACAGAGTCAGCACGTTGCCCCCAACAATCTGGGTCCTCCTACTGACCTCTTAGCAAATAGGGTGATCACACCCTATTTAAGGCAGTCTTTTAAAATGTTTGTATATATTCTATAGTTGTATAAATTATTTGATCTCACTGCACAAATAATTCCTTAACTGAAAGCTTAAGTAGCATTCTGATCAGAAAGGTTGTACAAACTTAAGAGATGTTTAATTGCCCAAGACAAAAGCTCATTTGCTGTCATGATAATATCCTGTCTTCTTATGGTAGTCTGATAAAGGCAATGATCCAGAAACACGTTACTGCCTTTATATTGTGTTTTCATAGAGGCAGTTCGAGAGGCAGATCATTTACTGCAGTTCATTTACTGCCTTAACTTTTAATAAACCATTTTGTTCTCTATGATCTAGGTTAGTTTTAGATTAGCAAAGATTGTTTTCTGATTTGTTATTGACATAATCTCACATGAGCTGAAAAAGTACCATTGGCCCAAAGTCACCAAATGAGCTTCATTGGATAGATGGAAAATATTTTCCACATATAGGAATCATTACTCTCTTAATCATTTTAAACTGAACAATATTTACGTAAAAACATCGGATTATTAGTATTTTCTCAGGTTTTGTAATATTTAAATTATAAATAATTCATATAGGAGAAAAAGCAAATAGAATAATCAGATTTTATAAATTCTTTAAAATCAAGATGTTTTGCAAGCATATTCTTCAGGGCAGTTTTCATGTGTTTATTTGCACTGCTTTTTTTTTTCCAATAAAATCTGCATTTTGTGTGCTTCTGCCTAAACCCTATATAGTTTAGTGTGTGATAATGTGTGCTTCTGCCTAAACCCTATATAGCAGTGGTGGCGAACCTATGGCACGGGTGCCAGAGGCGGCACTCGGAGCCCTCTCTGTGGGCACACATGCTGTTGCCCCAGCCTCACCTCCGCCCACAACCCCCTCCTCACCAGCAGCCTCCCTGGAGGAGAGTTGCCCCTGAGCGTGGCCCACGTGGAGCAGCGCAGCCAAGGCTGCAGGGCGCAGGCAGAGGGCATGGCCACCATGGCGCTGCTGGGCTGCCTAGGCGATCTGCGGCGGGCCCTGGAGGCGGTGAGTGGCCCTGCGGGCAGGCGGGGTGGGGGCGGGGCCAGCTTTTGGGCACTCAGTCTATCTGTTTTAATATGCTGTGCACCGCCCTGAGTCCTGCGGGAGAAGGGCGGTATAGAAATTAAATTAATAATAATAAATTAATAATAATAAAAGGTTCGCCATCACTGCTATATAGTTTAGTACCAAAACAATGTTTCAAATTAAACCAAATTCAAAGGGCTGTCCTGAAATGTTTCTAAAAAAAAATTTCAAGTTCAGAACAGAATACTTCATATTTGGAACAAAGCTGTTTTAACTTTGGAGCACTTCCAAAATGTTGGAAATAGCTTGGTAAACAGGTAGTCCTGAACTTACGACAGTTCACTTAGTGACTTTTCAAAATTACAATGGCATTGAAAAAAGTGACTTACGATTGTTTTTCACACTTACAAACATTGCAATATCCCCGTGGTTATGTACTCAAAATTTGGATATCTGTCAACTTGTCTCATAGTTATGACGGTTGCGTGTCCCAGGATAATGTGATCACCTTTTGCAACCTTTTGACCAGCAATGTCAATGGGGAAGCCAAACTCACTTCACAACCATGTTACTAACTTAACAACTGCAATGATTCACTTAACAACTGGCAAGCAAAATCATAAAACAGGACAAAACTCATTGAACAACTGTCTTGCTTAGCAACGGAAATGTTGGACTCAGTTGTGGTTGTCAGTTGAGGACTACTTGTACAAAGTTTAAAATGCAAAATATTGTGAACCACAAGTCTAAAAAGTAAACATTTTTGTTGAGACAAATTTCATGCAGGATTCAAATTTAACATGTTGAGATTAAAATATGTAGATAGAAGGTGGTTTTAATTGAAAGCCTTTTATGAAAGATATACTAGTAGTAGCTGAGAGATAAAATATATAGGAAGAAAATTATTAGAATAAATTCCTAGAATCATCGGTTTGAGATGGGTGACTATACAAATTGAATTAATTAATACAATTTAAAACTATCATAATCAACTAATTGTGCACATTGCAATAGGGTCCCTGAACACTGATCATTTCAATTTGCATACTTCTAATCCTCAGACATATATGCAGAGATGGGCATCCCTGAATGAACCTAAGTATCCTAATTTTATTTAGACTCAAGCATTTAAAAACTATTTTAAAATTCAGACATATACACTTAGGGGAAGAAATTTTTTGAAAAATTATATATGTGACTTTATATGAGCTGGAACAAAAAAAAACCCTACATATACAATTGTTTTTTGTTGGGGAAAAATATATCAGGTTTGTGTATTCCATACAATTTTGGCGTACACATCTAAAACCATTGTTTCATTTGTCACATGAAAAATCATTTTTGAAACCAAACTTTTCAATAGCAATTTAATACAGATCAGAATCCACTTATTTAAAATGAAAAAAAAATCTAAGGAACTCTTTGTGTTATAACTAGTACAGTTAGCCTATTACTTATTCTCTTTTATGAGTCTATATAAGCTGTGAAATCAGATGAAGAAAGGCTACCAATGTGAACAGTGATGTGAAATACTGCATAAGTATTTTTTATTTGGAAGTTAATTTATATTAGGTTTTGTCCAATAAACATATGCTGTAGCTACCAAATACACACATTTTCTTATGTATACATTGTTCAGTGGAATGGAATTAAGAATTAGATATTATCCTGATGAATTTCTTCCACCACTGTATCCTTAACAACATTTTTGTATAGGACTTTCATTCCATATTTCAAAAGTCAATACCATAAACAGTTACATTAGCATAATCGTATGTTATACAATATTTAAAGAGATTAATAATAAGGCTGCATCCTGCCAAATCTGTTTCAAACTTAAATGTTTTTGCTGCAATTTAAAGCCTAAAAACCATCATTCCTTGATATCTGGGGTGAGAGAAAGGAAATAAAACTCAAAAACTCTGACATTTTTCTACATTGGAATACACTTAGACCTATAGATAGGCAAAAGTCCTATGAAGATTAGCTTGGGATTGTATTTATGAAGGTTTAAGTTAATCAAATGTCTATGGTACACCAATGTGTTGCATTATTACATATTCTTTCTCTACCATCTCTTAGTTCATTTTATGTGTATTGATTAGTGCAATACAAAATGATGCATAAGTAATCTGTTTTTGAAACTTGGCATGAAATCTGTATTGTGCTGTCATGTATGAAATTAAAAAGTAGATTATAAGTTTTAATTTTCTGTCAGGAAGTTTAAAGTAATACCTAATAAAGTAAAGTAAACTTTTGTATTTAAAACAAATTGAATTTGGAAAACTTGCCATATTCTACAAACAAAGTTTATAATTTATTCTTCTGTCTAAATTCACTTTAAAAGTTGGCATTAGGGAGATTTTCATTAAGATGCAGTGAAACAAAAATCCAATGAAACTTCTCTATTTTCTATTTTTAGAACTCTCCATAGACAATAAATAGTATAATACAGTCTTTCTTCATTCCTCTGTAAATCAGCATAATCAACTCCGTTCTTATTGACTGGATTTCCCCCCGCAGTGGGTTAATTGAGGGAAATTGAATTATTACAATGTCACCATTTATATTCTAATACACGTACATACATATACATACATATATAAATTCTCAGTTAAATATCAATATTATCAACACATTTTAGCTGATGTGAGTATCAGAAATTCTGCTACTATGGTAATCATAATACAGCAATTTGCTGTTCTATAACAGCAGTTCAGATGTTTAATCCTGCATGGTTTACAACCAAGCTTTATTTTGGAAGTGCAGTTAGTATGAAATCCCACTAGAGCTGGAGTACTAAATAAATGTACTATGCTTAAGACCTGTGCATTTATAGAATTCTTTAAACTAAGGAATGCACATATTAGGTCTACATATTTTGATAAAGTATTTTCTCATTTTATATTTTGTTCAGCATTTACAGCCGAACAATACCAGCATCATCAACAGCAACTGGCACTAATGCAGAAACAGCAGCTTGCACAAATTCATCAACAGAAAGCAAATAGTAATTCTACGAACGCTTCACAGGTGAGGGAATTGCCTGTATTATGATTTATTCCTCATTTTTTCCACCAGGGGTCATCTTTAATTCTCAACTGTTGCCATAACATCTTGCAACTAACCAACAGAAAAGTGGCTTTCGCTTGAATCTTCATCTTAGCCATACGCTAGTGTTTAGAAGTGATGCTACAGGTGAGTATAGATGGCACTACTGCTGCTCCTTGTATCAGAAAAAGAGGTGATTCAGCATTATAAATATGTAAGGGAGGAAAACAAGAATTGTCTGTTTGATGTGAACAACATCGCAATATTGAATGCATATTCCAAAGGAACAGAACTTGCATTACTGCTGGCAAGCCTTGATGGATACCACTATACATATATTCTAAAGAATGCTAGCTAACTAATTAATTTACATTGTATACATTTGCATTCTCTTCTACCCTCAAATAAATTTACAGATTAATCCCTACATTATACATTTTAAAGTCTTCAGTGTTTTCAGAAAATAAAGCTTTTTATCTCATTAGTAATTAGCTTACTAAGGGTTAGAGCAGATAATCACGATATATATTATTTGACTGAGTTTCTTGATTTATTTAAGTGTTTTAAAAATATAAGATACTATAGTTTAAAATTCCAGTGAAAGACCCTTTTTATTTATTCAGAAAATACCAATAATTAATTTTATGGTTCTGTATATACTTACTCATGCTACTAATCAAGTATTTACTTGAAAAAAATGAAATGGGATTTTTAAGTAGATCTTTAGTGCATGCTTTTGTGGTTGTTAGGATTGTGTACTATTAGGATTGTGTACTATTTCCTTCCCTACATTCTATACTATATACTATAGAGTAGTTTTGAAATTTTTTTAAAAAAACATTCCATACTTTCTCTTAACTGAAACTGGTGACTTTTCCATTTTCTATTGTTGGGCTCAGCGGTACATTATTGTAGTGTGTGATTTATAGCTTGATGTTATTTTTTCTTTAAAAGGGTTTTAGTTCCAAGACATTGGATTCTGTCAGTGCTCAGTTTGCTGCTTCAGCCTTGGTTACATCAGAACAGCTCATGGGATTCAAAATGAAGGATGATGTGGTGCTTGGAATTGGGGTGAATGGCATCCTTCAAGCCTCAGGTAAGAAGTAATGATTGCAGTGCCAAAAAGTATAATTGCATGTGGGTGGGGGAAGTGAGAGAGAGAGAGACTTAAACTAATAACTGCTTATTGTCATTTGGGATGACTTTTTCTTATTTCACAGGAGTATATAAGGGCTTACACTTCAGTAATACTACGCCTACAGCACTTGTACATACAAGCTCATCAACAGCAGGTTCAGCCTTGTTACAGCCTTCAAATATAACACAGACTTCAAGTTCCCCCAGTGCACTGAGTCACCAATTAACTGCTGCCAATTCTCCAACAACTCAGGTTCTGTTTGGGAACAACATTAGATTAAGTGTACCCTCATCTGTTGCCACTGCAAACTCTATTAATACGCTCAATGCACGGCACATACCTAGGACTCTAAATGCTGTTCCATCATCTGCCTTAAAGCTGGCTGCAGCAAACTGTCAGGTGCCCAAGGTGCCAGCCTCATCCTCTGTGGACACAATACCAAGGTAAGTTCTTTTCTTATACTTTGTCATGTTGAATTCTTAAAAGTTGAAAAAGAAAAATTTTATGAATGTCTAAGCAAAATAGTATCAGTAGAAAATTCTGTAAAAAGTTCTATAATTAGAAATATTGAATACATTTATGATAAGTTTATCAAAAGTGGGATAGATTACTTTTGTAAAACTTGATTTTCCAAAGAAAAGGGGTCTTTTTGGTGCTGCCGAACAGAAGGCACCTAGAAAAGTCTTAATTAATTCACAGCTTCTAATTTTCATTGCTTTCATTTAATAAAATTTGAACCTCCTATTCATTTATTATAAAAGCTTATTAAAAAATCTCACTTTTTATGTTTTTAATCTTATTCTCAGTTTTGTTTTTCATTTTTCTATTTTTGTTGTAGTTTTGGGTACTCTAAGTATATTAATACTTCCAACTTGGAAATGTGTATGTAATAATACTTGCAACATTAAGATTGATGTGTTCAAGCCCTGAAAATAATAATTGCATGTGATAAAATTACCGCCTATCGTCTTCCCCCCAAAATCTTTTTTTATTTTCAACATTAAAATCTGTAATGCTGTAATCATTAACTTGTTGGAATAGCTCCAAAGAGACTTGGGCCATCCTTGGCCATGGGAGCTTTCTCAGATCAAACTACATTACATGGTGGTTGTTCTGCAGAAAAAATGAGAACAGGGAGTGCTGTGGATACCACCTTCAGCCCCTGAACAAAAAGCAGGATATAAATCTGACATTAAATAATAGGATAGGATATTACTTGGAAATTTCAGGGCTATAGATAGGAACTCAAATGAAAAAAAAATCCAGATTTCTCCATTGATTTCTTTAAGAGATATTCAGGATTCAGTTAAAGAATCCTACATTTGTCTTTTTATCAATTTTATTGATATTGTCATTATTGCTCCATTTGGAGGTTGAAGGGGATGATGTTAGATTAATTTACCTATATCCAATCCCAGCTTCATTAAATCTGCAGGTAGCATTCTTTTCTTGAAGATGTTTAGGAATATGTTGAATTGACCATCCAAAAATAAATTGATTATTAAATACTTATTTTAGATTGGTAGAATCTCAGTTTGAAATATAAATGGTTTATTTTTACACAGTGTTTCCATAAGTATGAGACAACACAGATTTGAAAATGGAAAGAAAAATATTATTACGCTACACTGAAGTTCCAAAGATGGAATATAAGCACTTGTACCATGTTTTTAAGAGTGGCTTTTTCCTATTTAGATACTCAACCAATGTATTTGTGTTCTCTCTACTTTTATATTTCAGGGAAAACCATGAAACAGAAAAGTCAGCACTGAACAATATAGCAGACAATACAGTAGCAATGGAGGTGACGTAGTTTCTGTAGTAACGAAACTTCAATCTTTGGGAACTTGTTTAGGTGCTATGCATCAGTAGCAATTTGAATGCAAGGGATGATGGAATGCAGCATATTGTATTTCCATGGCAGCTGTGGGGACTTGACAGCAATGCACATCTCTCATGCGTTGGTTTTTCTATTCTTACTGTTAATAGGAAAAAATCAATACCTGTAAATTAAGATGACAGCAATTATCTGTACAATACTGCGTATTTGTAATACCCTTGTATATATGTTACTTGAATACAGAACCATTCATTTGTGATGCTTTGCACTTGGGGCAGGGGGGAGGGAGAATTGCAACAAAGTAAGAGTGTAAGAAGTGAGATTGTATAAAGATGAAGTGTCATGACATCATGTGCATGGTGCGGAACCTGCTGTTTTATCTATTTATTGTGCTGTGTTTACAGTTTTTGTACACTGTACCTTCATTGGTTCCTGTGCTGTAGTAAATGTGTTAGGTAGCTGTGGACTCCTTGGTATTTTGTAAATGGTATTAACATAACTTGGTTCCCCCTCTGGGTCCTTGAGGTTTTTTGTGTATCATGTGAAAAATGGTGACATACATACATAATTTTTTAAAAGGCATCAGTTTAAAAATGGGGAATGTACTACTCAATATGATCTTCCTGCTTTAAAATCACAAGGCAAGTAACAAGCTAAAAATGAAGTCTCATGGATTCTATTCAACTGACTAGCTCACTTGTGTGCAGTTTCTGGTACTTAAAGCACTAAAGTTATGTTGCTGCTCTTCATATAGCCCCCTCTGTTGTCCCATTTTTAATGCACCAAAATAGTGGTGTCAAATCAAGTATGCAAATGGAGTCCTTGCAACTGGAGTTTTATGTTGTCTTGCCATTCTTTTGATCACAAATTATATTTTTTTATTGTGTAATTGTTATTAAAGACTTCATTCTTCACTTGTTCTTTTTGAAAAAAAAGGCTAAAAGGGAAAAGAATGCAGTAATTGCTGTACATGTTTCATCATTCCAATTTCTGAAAACAGCCAGCTTTCCTTCCCCCCCCCCCTTATCTTTTAATATTCTCCAAAAGGCTGCAAAACCAGAACCACAACTGTTGGGTGCCTTTCTTTGGAAATATTTGCCCTCTCTTCTGTGAAGAGAATGGTACTTAGGACTCTACTACTAGTGCTTTGTCAGTACCGGTCTGAATGCCCATTCTGATGGCGTACATTATCCTTAAGGTTTTTAATCCCACCTGGAATTGTGATAGAACTCTCACAAAATAAACCCAGGGCATTACATGTTGACAGAGAAGTGTGTGGTGTGTCATACTAATTTCATTTTATGAATTTATTCTGAGAGAATGTGATCCAAAACAGCTGAGCATGCTTGTTTTAAATTAAAATATTTTAAAAGTAATGCAATAAATAAATTAATAGGGATCACTGATCAGTGGCTTCCAACAAAATGGGACAAAGAACTGATCTGGTTTGGATCTTAAGACTTCACTTTGAACTGGAGTGAAGCATTGGGTGAATCATGCCTGGTACAAGAAGCCAAAGCAGAAAAAGATATGTGTATGTGCTTTTGCAAAAATTTCCAGAATCTTTCAAAGTTCATGTTTACAAAAACATTAAAATAAAGTTACAGATCATTACAGACAGTAATATCCAGATCGATTGTGCTTACCATAAAAAAATAAGATTTCATTGAACAATTATTGAGTACAATGTAATGGAAATCTCTGATAAAATTCATTGTCAAGCTTTTCAATCCTTTACATTATTAATTTTGGCAAGTTACTTTTATTTGCCTAGTAATTATATCTGAGAATCCGGAGGTAAATTATGTATTGGGAAGGTCTGGAGGAGAGCAGTTTTTCTGAGAAGAGAGATTGGCTCTGGGAACTCCAACATTTTTTAAAGAGAGAATATCCCTATCATCTGGCTAAGAAAGCAGGAGACTATGAGTTCTGGTCCCACTTTAGCTATGAAAGCCAGCTGGATGACCTTTGGCCAGTTACTCTCTCTTGGCCCAACTCACCTCATGGGGTTATTGTGGGAAAAATAGGAAGATACATTAGATATGTTTCAATGAGTTATTTGTAAAAATAATAAAGGCAGGATACAAATAAATAAAAATAAAATCAATTAATTTATATTGGCATTTGAAAGAACATGGCTGTCCCATATAGTGGCTGTCCCATTTTTTTCACTAAAAGTGCTAATGAATCAGAGTGTGTAAACATGACATTTTGCTATCTTTTCCCTTACCAGCTGTAGCAAAGAAACCTAGAGATGAACAAATAATGGAATAGTTACGCAAAAAGCATCTGGAAAGAGACACAATAGTTTGGATTTCATTCACAGATACTTGAAGATTAAAAAGATCTTCACCTAAGTGGTGAATATTTTCAGATGCCAAATCTGAGAAACTACAGAATTACTTTTACTATAGCCACAATTTTTGTGTTGTAGTTATTTTCATTTCATAATTGATGTGCATTTTGCAGTGTGTATTTTTCCCTAGATACAATGCAAATCTACAAAATGTCACAACAGAGCTGGAAAACAAAGTTGTAATTTCTTTAAAATAATTATGATCTTTCTTACCTAATTAATGTGGTGTAAAACTGAAACATTAATAGTCAAGCAACTGAAAAAGATCTTTCTTTTTTTTAGCATATCACAAGCATCATTCAACTACTTAGGTTTTCAAGTAGTTCATAATACTTGAAAAAACAGCAGTATGTGCAAAGTGGCTGCTTGAAGCAATGATTAGACTTTAAGACTTTGGGCATCCTACTTTTTGGCACACAGCTCATTAAGAGTTGGCTAGAGTTTTACTAATGGGTATGATTGCTGAATTGCTCTGGTTTTGAATGCAACTAAAATTGCCAGTTTCCAAAAACTGGAAATACCATAGTAGCTTTTAGCACACTAGTCTAAAGAACACATATGCTGTAGTGAAAAATTGAAAAATAAGTAATAAAAATCCTTGCTTTGATTCCCCCTCCCAAGGAAAAGAGGGTACCTTCTGGATGGGTTAATAATTTATATAATTAATGTGTATTTAGTGTTCATTTTTGAATATAGATAACATACTGAACTATTAAAGTCAGGACTAAGTGTGCTTCACTTGGTAGGTAAAAATGATTAGGTTGTGGTTCAAACATGTATAAATCAATTTCTTAATAGACACAGATGAAAGAATTATGCAAAATCCTGATATACCCTTATATTAAGACTTTTGCATTTTTATCATTATATAAAGCGATACATTATATTTGTCTCCTCTTTTCTCTTTCCTGACTATCCCTTTGATCTCTTCAGGAAGTTAACATCATCAAAGATGACACACCAGTGTTTACCAACACCTGACAGCAACTATTCTCAAAACCTGCACTTTCTCCCATAATTTTCAGAGGCTGTGTAAGAATGGGATGTACTCTTCCATAGCTTCTGGAGCTTTTGAAAGTCACACAGAATGAAGCATGCTTTACCTTGAGAAGAAAAAGTTCAGCTCAAAAGAAAGTGGATAGAGCACAACACATGCAGCAAATGAATGGCTAAAGCTGGATCCTAAAGGGAGTCAGACAAGAAACAAAAGGATTTCGAAGGACCCTGCTTCCGCCACAGCCATCTATTTGCTGCATGTGTTGTACTCTAGTCTCTTTTTCTTCTGAGCTGTACTTTTTCTTCAACTTCTCATCTCAAACAAGTTGCAGAAATATTTTATTTACTTCTTTCCTCTGTTCTTCAGCCTGGCAGTCATTCATAAAGATAAGTAACTTACAGATTTTGCCACTCTCCATGCATTCAGTAAATTTAGCAAATTAAGTGGTTGAACGGGATCAGGATTGGAGGGCAGAGACTTGAGAGTTTAATTTCAATACCTAATGGGGAGGGAATCATCAAATCTATCCCTCCCAGCTTTAATGTTTTGTTTTATTGAAGAAATGTGGATTTCTGGAGAGTAAGCAAGGGAAAGGTTTGGAGAACATCATTCTGAAGCTGCCATCTTTGCATCCAGGTAGCTGGTTTCCCCAAATCTAGCAAGAGCCAGTAGTAATTTTCAGTCTTCCAAGCAGAGCAAAAAGTTCATCCTGAAGCTACTGCATTTCCATGCAGGCGACTGGCTTCCCCAGAGCCAACAGAAGCCAATAATGGCTTGCAGTCTCCTGATCAGGGCAAAAAGCTCTAAAAACAGCTGCCATTTCTGCAAGGAATTGTCGGAGCGCTGAAATTAGCTGCTTTCAGGAGGCATGAGGAGTGGGTCGAAGCACTGCAGATTCTCAGGAAGGTGGGATGGGAATAGAAAGATGTGCAGTAGCATCCCTGTGGTTATTCATAAGGGCAAATGCAGACACATTGAAATGGGGTTCTATGTTTTTTTTGGGGGGGGGGAGTGTTCTGTTGTAACTTTATGTGACAGGTTATATCTCAAGGACTACCTGTAATCAATCTTACCATAATCTCTAATTTCTCTAAAAAAACAGAGAAACAAATGACAAAATTGTTCACGATGGCAATTCTACTCCTGAAATCAAACACAGGATAATCTTAGGTAGAACTGCAACAAAATAAGATCTGGAAAAGCAGAGATATTGATACCAATATAAAAAGCAGGCTAGTTAGACTGATAGTCTTCACTATAATGATGTATGGGTGCGAGAATTGGACACTAAAAATGGCTGATCGAAGAACAATTGATGCCTTTGAAGTGTGCTGGTGTAAGTTACTACATATTATAGACAGCCAGAGCAACTAACAAAGAGGTTTAAATCATATAAAACCGCATATCACTGAAAGCTAAAATCATAAGACTATATATGATTTACTTTGTCCATGCTATGTGTAGAAATTCATTAGAAAAGGCAATGATGCTAGGAGAATGGTTAGTGGACAAAGAAGGGGCAAGCAAAGAACAAGCTGGCTTGATAACATCAAATCTGCTACAAAGTTGAACATCCAACAATTGAAAGATATGCTTGACAGGGTAGCATGGAGATCACTTGTGTATAAAGTCATCCAGAGTAGGACATGGCTAAATGGTTAAAACAAACAATTTCTCTAAGTTTGTTAAGAAGGACTTGATTTTATCTTGTTTGTTGTTCCTACTTTTTTTATGCTGATAGCTTGCATTTGATCATCAAACATCTTTTTATTGCCTAATGTTTCATCCAGTCTCTTTTTTTTTAAGACATTGTTTTAAAAGTTGGTTAGACTTTTTTCACGATATTTCTTACTTCTTCCTTTTGTTCCTCAGGTTCACATAAGTTAATGGAATCTTTACACTGATTTCATACTCTGACAGCATATTTCTGGCATATTGTAGCTACCACTACTACCATCCATTAATACTTTTAAATTTAATCTACTTGATACCATTAACTGTCCTGGCAGACTAGATTGATTTTCTCTACTATGCCTAATACATAATCTCTGATTTCAGTGCTGTCTGTCTACTTATACTATGTCTATATGTAAAGTCTGCCTTTA